TTTGCTGTAGCAGGCTTCATTCCCTTGTTTTCGCTTGTCCGTAGCATCTTGTTCGGACAACCTTGGAGGTTCTTCTGTGGGAACCTCATCACAAAGAGTTGTTTTATGTCCGACATCATAGGCCTATCTAAAATAAATTTTATTTTAGATGACTTAAAGGTAGGAAGACAATGTAATAAAGCAGCAGCAAATGCTAGCAGAATGCTTGGTTGTATAGGGAGAGGCATTCACAGTAGAAAGAGGGTAGTGCTCATGCCATTGTACAGAACACTGGTGAGACCTCACTTGGAGTATTATATGCAGTACTGGAGACCGTATCTTCAGAAGGATATTGATACTTTAGAAAGAGTTCCGAGAACTGGTTCACGGATTGCAGGATACAACTTACAAGGAAAGGTTAAAGGATCTTAACATGTATAGCTTGGAGGAAAGACGGGATGGGGATATGATACAAACATTTAAATACATAAAGGGAATCAACACAGTAATGGAGGAGACTATATATTTAAAAGAAAAACTACCACAACAAGAGGACATAGTCTTAAATTAGAGGGGCAAAGGTTTTAAAAATAATTTCAGGAAGTATTACTTTACAGAGAGGCTAGTGAATGCATGGAATAGCCCTCCAGCTGAAGTGGTAGAGGTTAACACTGTGAAGGAGTTTAAGCATGCGTGGGATAGGCATAAGGCTATCCTAAAGAGAAGATAAGGCCAGGGACTAGTGAAAGTATTTAGAAGATTGGGCAGACTAGATGGGCCAAATGGTTCTTATCTGTCGTCACATTCTATGTTTAATTTCTGTACTTCCGATCCTGCCTTAGCCATTATTAGGGGGAGTAATTTTTTGAGAGGCTTCAATACACTCAGTGGATTATTCTTGGATCCTAATTCAAATTTCAGAAGTGGGCAAATGGGAGGCTGATTTTCTCTGCTGCCTGAACTCTTGGACATGTTTTCATATTCATCTGGTTAGGATTCCTGACATTTAGATATTTGTTTAAGCCTTTGCTCTAATATGAGCTCTTAAAAAAGTCCTCGGTACGAAACGCGTTGAGCCGAGAGGCTTGCCAGCGTCGCCCCAAAGATTCTACATTGATCCATCTGTCCTTGCCGGGTTCATCCTCTACATATACTCAGAAGGAGAACTCTTACTCTGAAGGCATCGATATCGGATCTGCATTTAAAGGGGACTTAACCCAGGAAGGGATGACAAGCTCTTTTGCACATATTGATATCTCTTTGTGCCAACATCTTTGTGAGTGTACATACTATTAATTTATATTTTATGTGCCATTAAATACTTCACCATATATGTTATTTATCCTTTATATTTTATATGTCCTCCATTGAATATGTATGGTAACTATATACACGTTTTGTGATTGTGGCGCCCCCATTTGGTATATGTTTTGGGAACTATACCCCTTTTTGCATTTGTGTATCTTTTGGGATTGTGAGTGATACCTTATTTGGAGTGGCTAGCCTGTACTACTGAATCACTTTATCCCATTCACTGCTTTCTTATATTCGCTCTTATACAGGGAGTGCAGAATTATTAGGCAAGTTGTATTTTTGAGGATTAATTTTATTATTGAACAACAACCATGTTCTCAATGAACCCAAAAAACTCATTAATATCAAAGCTGAATATTTTTGGAAGTAGTTTTTAGTTTTGTTTTAGTTTTAGCTATGTTAGGGGGATATCTGTGTGTGCAGGTGACTATTACTGTGCATAATTATTAGGCAACTTAACAAAAACAAATATATACCCATTTCAATTATTTATTATTACCAGTGAAACCAATATAACATCTCAACATTCACAAATATACATTTCTGACATTCAAAAACAAAACAAAAACAAATCAGTGACCAATATAGCCACCTTTCTTTGCAAGGACACTCAAAAGCCTGCCAACCATGGATTCTGTCAGTGTTTTGATCTGTTCACCATCAACATTGCGTGCAGCAGCAACCACAGCCTCCTAGACACTGTTCAGAGAGGTGTACTGTTTTCCCTCCTTGTAAATCTCACATTTGATGATGGACCACAGGTTCTCAATGGGGTTCAGATCAGGTGAACAAGGAGGCCATGTCATTAGATTTTCTTTAT